ATGATCTCGTGTCCTTAGACACACCCCATTATAGTTTTCCTCTGTGGCATCATCGGGACGGGAAAGGCATTCTCGTTCGCGACCTCACTGATGAAAGGAGTAACCCTTTACGACCAGTGAATATTACGCGTCCGACTTAGATTTTGTGGGTACGTTCATCTATCATCCCGTCGACCGCGGATGCGTTACTGAACCTAGGATCATTGTCATTAGTTTCTCGAGTACCTCACTACCCCGGTTACTTGTCCGGCTCTATAATAATCGTATTTGCACTAGTCAATGTCTTCTCTATTGCATAACGACAACGTGTAATACAAACGAAGATTCGTTTCACGCCCCTAACCCTAATTCTAATGTAAACCCGACATATATATAAGTGATTAATTTCCTCACTTGAATAAATTATTAGACAGAACTAGAACATATAATTTAGAAGTTTCAAAATTTAACATAAATATTTCAGATATCAAAGCTAAATAAGGTTATCCTATATATAGTAATTAGAAGTGAAATGTGAATTTTTTACTTGATAAAGACATTAATTGCACAAAACAATTTCAGTAAAATAATGTAGTAATTACTTAACAAAATAGAAATAAAAATTTCATATTGATATTAATGCATACTTATGTGTGGGGTTTTCTTTGCAGACACTTTCACCTTAAATCCTGTTGATGTAGCTTTTGGTGATTTGGTAGCAGCTTTTGTAGCTACTGGAGGAGGCACTGATGCAGGTTCTTCTACAACCCTTTTACCAGGTGTACCTCTCTTATGCCCTATACTCTTTCTTGGTGGAGTAACTGATATTCCAGGCCCCTATTTTCAAATTACAGTTAACATTTTATACAATTTTAATAAACGTATATTAAAATACATATAAAGCAAGTTATTTACCCTCATTCTTTTTGCATCTCGAATAATCTCTTTTTCCGGATCATCAGGGCCAATTGGTTCTTTGAGGAAAGTAAAATTATCAATAGTTAACTCTTTCGTATTAACTAAAAAGAAACATATCATGTTACTATAATTATTACTTATATTATATTATTATTAGTATACAAAACTATACTTACGAAATTCTGCTACTTCTCTGAAACTTCTAACCTTTTTGCCCTTTGGTGTATAATAATAGATATCAGCCATTCTTTTAAGACTAGAATCATTACTTGCTCTAAATACCAATTCTCGTCTCCAACCATACTTAAAAGGCTCTTTGAATGCTGGATTTGATATATCACTTGATACTTTTTGTTTCCCAGTACTTCCTGGACTAACTCCACGTAATAAACGATAACCTTTAGACTTTATTGATGTTGCTGGACTACTGGCTGCGGATGATGAATTTGTTGACTTAAGGGAAGTGTCATCTGTTTTTTGTACTTCTGTTTCTGATTCAGCAGTATTTGGCATTCCAAGTGATTCCGTTTCTGATTTATCAGATTCCTTTTCTTTCTTTACTTTATCTATATCTAATACATGGTCACCATCGTACATTCTGTTATCACCCGAATCTTCATCATCTTTTTTCGTATCAAAATTCTTCCTTATACTATATCTAAATCGTTTTGCCAATTGTGCCTCTGCTACTTCAGCTTCAGCTACAAAAAATCATGTTAATGCTACCTAATTTTTTCATTATAAATTCTGTGTATTTTAAAGTATCTATATAATTGAAACAACACATCTTCATAAATTAATACATATTTATATCACAATTTTATTTAATGCAAACATGTTGAAAATATAGCATCCTATTATATACATAGCCTACATTTATACAATTTCATGCCTTATTTATAAAAGTAAAATGAGGTATTATTAACATAAGTATGTTTGACTAAGATTTCAAATATATTTATTTAAAAATTAATTCAAATGATTACTTCTTAAAGAATATGCATCTACAAAAATGATGATCTGTTCTAAATATAACATTAATAGCTTACTGCATAAATATTGAGCACCCATTTTTAGCAATTACAAGAAAATCTGTTTTAAAAATTTAATGGTATTTTATAATTAAATAAATATTTTTTGCATTATATTTATCTTTATTAATAGCATTATAAAATTGTTTGTAAATTGTGCATTGATCCCTTTCAGAAACATAAAACAACAAAAGTGGATCATGGTTGTTGAAACTATCTCTGTGTACATAAAATACCATAAACAAACATTTTATTTTTAACAAATTTATGAAGTAGATATAAATGTAATTTTTATACAGCATAAAGCAATAATCAAGAGCTATCTGCTGTATATAAAAAGCCAAATTCTACAAAAAGTGGACATACAATATTTGTGCAGTAAGTCATTGGCATAGTCTTTCGCTCTCATGATATGACACTTGCTGGCAAGCATATAGGCTTGCATCTTGAATAGACCATAACAATAATTACCAATACCAATTAATTTCTTCAAGACATGACTTGCTGGCTCTACTTCGTTATCTGCTTGTATATCAAAACCATTGAACTCCATAGATTCCTCTGAGCTAAGATCGTCAGGCTCCGATAGCTTCCGTTTGCGTCCTTTTGTATTTAATGTTGAATCACTTTCAATGGTACTAGTTGAATTTGCCTTGAACTTACGTAGCTTTCTTCTAACATTGATTTCCATACCCTTTTTCGGCGAGTTCCTAATGTCGCCGTTCACGTCCTGTCCATCCATTTTAGGGGTATCCACTTTAACTTGCGTCTCTTGTAGATTCGGCACACTACCAGCTTCTAGGTTAGGATCCTCGCGCGCCCCATCGGCATTCCCGCCATTCACATTAATACCGTCCATTGTATGGCCCCTTTGGGACCAAACACCGATCTTATGTACTTTAACAACCTATGCGTGAAAAACGTTGATTTTCTGTTATTTGTCACTTTATAAAAGACTCCATCAAACGTTTTAAAATATAAGCAATTGTACTACAGTCCCCTCGCGTCTGGATACCGCAATCCCGCGCTCATCTGTCTGCGAGTGCGCATAACATACGCGCAGACACCACTACGCGCTATTTACACAACCGCCAGGATTTTTCTTGATACAATTTTGAGCAGTTCCTCATTACGCTAGCACATCACACTCATACGCCGAATTGATCCAAGAAACTTTTGCTGCAACAAAAATTATTTAATTTCCGTAAATACGGTTTGAACTGGCTCGAACGAGAAACGACAAAATCCTTGAACAGACACGAAGCGTCCATAAAACACACAACCGGAAATGGCCGAAAAAAATATGCAGAAGGCGCATTTACAATGCGCATAATTTTCAATGCGGTATCTTATGAATAATTCTAAATTATTTATAATTAAAATTACTTTGATAACAGAATTATGACATAAAATTTATCTAAGTAACGAATCATTTCGTAGTTTATATAGTTTGATATTTTACGTATGATGTACATAAGAACGACTCGTGAATTATTTAATATTTATATGTTTGATTTAATATTAATAAATAATACATGAGTACTTTTGTTATCACCCTTATTTGTATATACATACGTATTATATATATATTATATCATATATATATATAATATATATATATATATATATATATATATATATATAAAATGTAACATGTTAATAGTCGTTTAGTTTTAGAACATACCGGTGATATGTTAATTGAACCATGACCAAATTATTTCTTGTGGGGACACACATATATCATACCCTACAAATACGGCTTCACACCATACCAAAATAAAGAAGATAGTGAGGATCTGTGGCACAAAGTGAAAACACTTTTGTAATTCACAGATTTCTAACATTTGTTTCCGTTTTTTCATTGCTAACTAACGAAAACATTGCTCCACAATGTTATCAATTTAAGGAAAATTTACACCTTCCGCTATTATATATACAAGGTAAGCATAGAAGTTGCATTTTTTTACCTTGCGACTGATTAAAAGACGACGTATTCGAAATTTCTACAGCTACCAATTTACTCTTGATAATTAAATCTTCTTAGCAATGAGACGAAGGTTTTAAATATTAATATATATTTCATTAAAATTTGTTATCAGTAAAATAGTAAACAAAAAATATGTATAAGATAAACTTATCAAAAAAAGTAAATATTGTACAGTATATTCAAATTAATTTTTAAATAATATATATTTGTTATCTTATAGATACTTATCAATTATATATGAAGTTAATATATAGAAATTAATAGATATAGTATTATTATTTATATATAATTATGCAATTATAATTAAATAGTATAATAGATTAGATGATTTTATATCTTTAATATTATTTAATAATTTAATAGAATAGTTTAATTAAAATTTATTACATAACAATTTCTCAATACTGTTACAATTTTCTAAATTATATTATATATCATATTTACTATTATTCATTGTTAGAAACAAACATATCCTTCAAATGGAGCGTGTTTTGAAAGCTGTACCAGCGGATTTAAGAGTAAAAATGGAGGCACTTGTGCATGATTTAACTTTGGCATTAGAAGAAAGCAATAATAGTGCAAATGTGAGACGCAGATGGGGTATTAGGAGAAGGGCTCGTTCCACGGGCAATATTCGTAAGTATAAAACAATAAAAACATAAAACAACAAAATTTGTTTTCTATGAAATTATTTGAATACTTCGCGAGTTAATATGTTATATAAATGTATCTCAAATAAAGATTAAAATGAGTTCAAGCGCATATATTCTAACCATATTTCTATGAAATCAGTTCCAGTCTACTTCTACAAGGCAGACAGAGGATTGTTATCAAGATTGTGTTTATAGAAACCATATTTCATTGCTCAAAGAAGTCAAATTTTATAAATCTTTGAAAAGTAATTTTTAACACTTGAAAAACAATTAAAGAATTTGGAAAATAATCTTTAAATAATTACTTTTTATTTCAGCATCACTTCATATGAATAAACAATCAGATGACAGTTCATCTTCTATTTGTGATATCCATATTCCAAAAAGTAATACTGTCTCTAAATATCAATCTGATAGTGATGATACTAATCAAACGAAAAGATTTGCACGTTTTTCTAATTCAAATAATGCTAGTAACATTGAAAGTGATTCAGTTAATGAGAATTTTGTACCTAGAGTAAATCCACGACGTAAACGAAAATTTAAAAGAATGGCTATTGACTCTGAGTCTAATCCTTCAACTTCTCAGACTGTTGCAATGTCAGCAACACTTGCAAATAAAAGGAGAATTCTTCGAAGTGATTGTAAAAGTAGATATGGAACAATATGGTAATATATATCGTAACATTATATGAAAATATTGTACAATAATAAGAGATTACATTCAGTATTACAGATTATTAATTAATTCCAAAATAATTTTTTATTGTAGGTGTGGAAAACGTAAGAGATCTTGTAGAGAACGATCTACAGATTGTGATATGAGATCACTAAAACCAAACAGAAATACAAAATCAAAAAATCACATCAAAATGCAAACTGAAGATGGGATTGATTGCTCAAGAATATCTAGTTCAAGTATTTCATCTAGTGATTCAGAAACTGGACTTATCACAAATGATGAAGATCGTGAAGGTATTAACTGACTGATATATGCAATAGAAACTATAATTAGTTGATTCCTTTATCTTTAGGAGATGATGAACAGTCTGATTGGATTGGTGAACCAAGTTGGTGGGATGACGGAGAAAGTACTAATGAAGATAAAGTTAATACTGATTTATCATTCCAAATGATAATACATGGAAATTTTGAACATACAACACTTGAAACAAGGAAAACATATAGGAAAAGAATTCAAAGAATTCGGGAAGGTCTCAGCGGAAGAGAAATCCGCGCTGGTCGTCGGCATGTTGACAATAAACCTGGATATTCGATTATTACATCAGCCAATGAGAAAGTTTCTAGATTTTTACAAGATCCTACACAAAACGAGCTTAGATTACATCCTATGCGACAACCTGAGCGAGAAAAACTTCGTCGGCTTGCAAATTTGTATAGTTTAAGTTTAAAAGGAGATTTAGGTTGTCCAATCTTGTATAAAACTCGACATACTACACAAGCTATTTGCGTAGATCAAGTATCATTTAACCGATTTTCTGGTTACAAGAGATTGAGGAGAACTCCTCCAAATTCACCTAATTCAGAATTAATAATGCGTAATCAAGAACATCAAATTTCTAGTACAAGTTTTGATTCACAAATCATAAGCCCTATGTCAAATTTAGATTCGCTGCAAGCATTACCACAATTTTCTCATTTCAAATGGGATTCAAATAGTATGGATATTGAAATTCATGGGAAAACAAAGTTACATGATTTTGATCATTCAAAATCAAGTTAAACTGAACAATATTGTCTGTTAATTCGTTTCTTAAAATAAATTATTTACGCATATATATATATATGGTGCTTTCATGTATTACTTTTTTAATATGTAATATTATTAAATATTCAATGTAAATTTGTTACATTGTTCTTAACTGTGATTAGAATTATTTAAATATATACATTTCTTAAATATTTTTATCCAGATTGATAAATTAATATACATATTTATTAATCTGTCAATCATTTCATATTTAATATTGTTTATAATACATATGTATTTATATTGATATTTGTTTGTAGCGTTACACATAATATATATCTCACCAATTAAAACATTATTTATTTTGCAGACTCTAAACCTAATTCTTTGATATTTTCTCTCCAATTTTTTAATAACTATCCTATTTGATAATAATCAATAAACAAACGTAATAAAATAATAATAAATTAAAGATAATTAATTTACATACTTTATTGGTACAACATTCAAGACTTTTTACCCGCGCTCAATTTTTTCTGAGCAGCAAGTACATTTTCATTAGCAAGCATTTGAAATTCTTCGAAACGTTCTGACATTCTTTGGTTCATCCTCAGATATTTGTCCATGCAGTTCAGAGCACAAGTTTCTTCCTTTGCTTGGACATTTCGTGTAGTAAACTCATTTATACAGTCAAGAAAACAAGTTTCTACCAATCTATTATAGGACGCCACAAAATCTCGAACCTGAAATATAAAAGTTTCAATAATTTAAATTTTTATTCTTTACAATTTATTTTTATTTTCACATAATAAAATTTATAATCCTTTATCTTCACATCAACGAATATCAACACGTTTATCATCTATTTATATAAGATTAATTCGGTTCTTTCACGGAATAATGCATGATATAACAACAAATACATACAGATTTAATTTGTTCAGCATCCACATTTGTAGGAATTTGCATCGCCATTGTAATGGTCTGATTTTGTTGAAATATATTTACGTAAATAAATTATCGATACACCACAAAGAACTAAAATATCTTTCATATAAATTATTTTAAGGTTAAATTTGGACTTCCCTTGCCAAGCACGTGTAAGCTGGAAATATATATGTACACTGTATATACATTATGTGTAAAATGTTGAACTTAATCTTCCGAACGTTTTTGATAGGTTGTAAAGATATACGATCCTAAAACTATCAGAAAATCCAAAATCATCCAAATGTCAGTCGCACGTTCTAAAACTCGACTTTCCCAGTTTTAATTCATATATATTTTGGAACACATTATAAAGTTTTCTTTGTGAATACAAATTAATCTACGGAAACGAAGTATAAATTAACATTTCAGGTAATAGTAAAATTTAAAATATGTGCAGACTACACAAGTAATAAGAATAAGAATTATTCAATGCTTATTTAATTAATTATTTAATATTTGCATAATCATTTTTTAAGTATTAATATGTACAAGGCATTAATGGCAAAAATATGGAAAAAATATCATTGTATAAATTAGTAAATAATCAGTTGATTAGAAGTAAACATACAAATTATTTATTATTATAGCGTAAAATTTATCAATGAAACTCCGCAAAGAATCAAGTTCTAGAAAACGAGCAGATGTTTCATGTCAGCAGTTGATGGTAGTATTGAGTCAAAGTAAACTTGGCCTTTGTTTTGGATGTATCGAGAGTCTTATATTTGAAAGGTAAGACGGCCATTATATTCTTTATATATTATTTGTATAATAATCTCTGTATTATTAGTAATTAATTTGTCTATTACGATAATACAAAATAAATTTGTATGCATATTTGCCAGCATAAAAGAAATCAAAATTCAAATTCAATACACATATAAAAAGGAATGTAATTAATTATAATAAATATTTGTAATTAATTACTTTTATTAGGATATGTAAATATTTTTGTACAATTTCTGCATATTATATGAATATTATCATATTCACATATATGTATGATATTTGATCTATAATTTGGAAAATATTTCTTTAAAAAATACATACATATTTTTCCATCCAATTTTTCATCGTATTCTATTGAGTATTGTATCGCTGGTGTAATAACGATGCAAAAATAGTTGACAAACGAGGGTTCGTAAAAGCAACAGAAAGCTTAAATACGTTACGTTACACGAATGCATTCTAACATTTTGAATGCAGTTCAAACAAAATTAACAAGATTCACATTTTCAATTTAAAGTATGTTATTATAATCATAGCATTATTCGTATTGTACTAAATTCTAGTTAAACTTTACAAGGTTACGAAATGTTACCCACAAAATTCTTTTCTTTTTTGTTAGTCGTAAATCATAATGCTTTATTGATGCTGTTAATATTGTATTTCATGAGCTTCGTAACGACAATGTTATATCCATCACAAATTAGTTGATAAAATACTAAGTAAGTAAATAATTATAAATTTTACTACTTTTACAATGTACTTTTATTTCAGTAATCAAATTTGTGATTACTATACTACCATAAGAAAATTGTTGTCCCAACGAACGCTGCATTCTATAGATGGCGCAATGTTTCAATTTTTCATTTTCATTTATTCTCTGTAATTTAATTAATTTTATTTCATTCACATTTATTTATATGTATTTATATGTATATACGTGCGTGTTATACACCTAAATAATTCTTATAATTTTTAATATTTAATTACATACAAAAATAATTTATCGTTTATATGAAATTGCTTTTAATTGTCACTATTTTTATTCATATTAACTATCAATACTTTACAAGCTAAAATATTATTATAATTATATTGTTTCAGAAAACTGGACGAAAGCACAGGAACGAAAACTCGATTGGTACAAAATTTCGAAAGATGTCACATGATAATCGAAATGTTTCTTCAATCGGTAAATCTCTGAATTTCGTAACCAATAAAAGATTATGTCCGATAACGTCGCAACAAACGTCATCTACGAAAATGCTCATAAAGAACAAAAGGAGAGGAAAATGGACGAATAGCTCTACCGCAAAATATCAACATACGATAAATATTCCCGTCCAAGATGAAATTATAAAAATAAAAGAAGTTGAATCCAAAGAATATACGGAGTCCATCGATAACAAAAGCTATGAAGATATAATTGACGACGATCCAATTACTGTGTTGCGTAAGGAAATACAAGATTGGAGAATTAATGAACTATTAACATCTAGAACTGAAGAAAGGCTTACTGGAACTCCAAGTGAACAACGTAGTTACAATTATAGTATGTTATGAGTTAAATCATCATAAAATACTTATGAAATATTTTATTTCGCATATTTATAATTAATCGCCATTGCATTTTCATTATTCATAGTTACTTCCGGAGAAACCACAAAGAGGCAACAAAGTCCTAACAACGTTTCCAAGGTTTCTACAATGCGTGTTGATTTCTCAGCAGCTACGTGAGTATTATGTACTTTCATGCACGTTTACTTATGCTATTTATACATCTCTGATATTAATGCAGATTCGCAAAATTTGCATAATTCTGAATCGAAAAAATTAACACATTCCATAAATTGGAATCGCAAATCAGACTATATGAATTGCACTTTCGTCGTGGGATATGCATAATGCTTCTTCGTCGTTATTTTCGTAACACGTGTTTCGTATTTACACGAAAGTGCAAAATGTTTACTTTCTGTTATGTGTTATGTGTATTTGTTTAAGTATAAATTACCAGTTGCATGTTTTATCATGGTGTTGTGATAATTAGAGTGTATGAGCGAGGTAAGTAGGAGAGAAATTTATATTTTTCTACTATTACTATTTGGAAAATAGTTTTTCGTTATTAACGTATTTTAATAATGGTTCCTGATAAGATATACGTTTTCTTTATGCTCGATAAGACGTGACCAAGCTGATTGTTATGCGTCGAAGAGTCAAGAAATAAGCTCGAGAGTGCGTATCTTACGTAAGTAACTGTAAATGAAGAACGATGAGAGAAACACGATTGTGTGTCTTCACGATGCATATGTACACGCGAGAAAGACTACGTCATTCTGGAATTTTCGAAAGTTTCGTCTAACCGGTTTCTGGTTGCGTACACAGTAAGACCCGTTTAGTACTCGTCGGTGCTTGCATCAAGATGAACTTCACAGTTCATATAGCATTTAACGTAATTAGCTGTTTATTTTTGTCCGTATAGATTCTAGATAAATATGTATAGTGACGTGACGTTTTGAATGAAACTAATGGAAAAGATAGGAAACACCTCAACCTAGTTACAATTTATAACAATTATTAGCTGTTTCTTTAAGAATATACTCGTTTTATATGTATATATGTATGTGGATAAATCATATTTAGATATGTGGTAGAAGATAATAGAGATTTATGACTCATTAAATTAAGTAGATAATTTTACAAACGAGAAAATATTTTTCGGAACGTCAATTTTAACTTTCGCGCGCTTTTAGCGCAGTTCGTTGCGGCGAACGGTTAACGTATACACAGATACGGAGTATGTGGTTATCGGGAGGCCGTTGTAATTCTTTGGTAGTACCGTCACGAATGAAAAATGATAATGAGCATAGTGCTGTAGGTTAGTGAGAACAATAGCCACTTACGCTAATCAACGGAGGTGCATGCCGCGCGCGTTCGGTAGTAAAAATATTTTCGACGATAGCTCGTGCTACGAATGAGGAACGCCGAGACATTGCCGAATTTGTCCCCGACCATGAAGTCGTTCCTTCGTCGTGACTGAATTTTTGATCTTTAAGCATACGTGCACGCTTGTCATTTCGCCGATACCATGTTCGTGCGTATCGAGAAAGGATTTTACTTCGTCGAGTCACGAGTTCCGAGGACATTCGTCTTGAATACTTTCAAATGCATCATTCCCTATCGCGTTAATAATGGAAATGAAAAATAAAATGACACGAGAGGATTCAAGGTCTGCGAGGAAACGAGACTTCAAGTGCGGCCAGCTCATCCAGATAATGATGTAGGTTAGGTTCCCAGCGGTATATATCGCAAAAATCAACATTCTTCGTGTAGCCGAGGTTCGCAAAAAGCGTAAACCGGTTTGCCTCGTAAATGGCACACGACCGTGCGAACGGGAGACAGACACGAGGAGAAAGAGCGAACAAGAATAAAGGACAAGGAAAGGAAGGAAATCTTTCAGTCGCGATTTACAGTAAAGCGATATTTCGTCAATATACTCGAAAAATATTTGAACATTTACTATACAAAATTTTTAAGTCCATACTGCATGTATTACATACATTTATATGTATGTATCTTGAAATTCTATCAGCACTATAATGAGAACGGAGTGTCATGATTATATTGGCAAAATTTGAAATCAGTCTGAACATGTTTATAGGAATTATAAGATATCTATTGCAAACACATATTTACTAAATAAGATATAACAGAACTGCCCGTCTTAAACATAGTATAATAAGTATCAAACATGCTCCCAGTAAATATTGAAGCTTATTAGTATAATTGATAATTGGCTGTTTTTTTTTTATTTTTGTGATTTCTGCGAAGTATATATTTATATTAAATATCTTTTAATTTCTATATCTGTTTCTTAGATCTGTTTCAAATGTTATTAATATACGCAATCATAATAGTAGTCGAATTCTATAACAATCCTAATGAAATTGCAAAATGTTTCATACAATACATATAATATACTCATAAAAGGTATCCATAAGTGTTTGAACACTTTTGCGAGCCTGTGTATTTTTATCGGGAATATATTTGAAAAAGGAAGCGAATTAAGCAAATTACTACGACTCGACTCGTTTCGTTACAATTATTTCACACTCGAAGCATATCTTCGAGGATACATTATCTTTGTATCGGATTACAGTTGTAAAATAACTCCCAATGCCAGTTATTTTTCATCGTAATGAACCCACGCTAAGTCCATTATATACTTTACCGCGTAGCCGATTCATCACACGGCCTTAACAGTAATAGAACGATGCGTTTCTGATTCGTCAGCCACGTTTTTTTACGTAACGCTACGCGCAACGCTGCACGTGACGTCAGCTTGTACTCTCAATGTTGTCTACCAGTCAGCATCGTCGGCGGACATGAAATTCTTGTGGAGAAAGCATGCTTGAGCGCAGCCCAGATCCACGATGACTGTAAACGCAAGGTCAATGTCCTATCAAGCAAAAAAAGAAAAAAAATATGTATTTCTGCTCTCCGTCGAATCGACACGAAGATAATTCCTTCGTTGAACAAACAAAACGGGCGAGACGATTTTATTACAATTAAAGTTACGAGAGTAAACGTTGGCACGCGTTAATCAACTTCATAGGACACAGTTTTTCTACGTAACACCGGCGAGTGACGTCAGAGCGTGCAGTGTGTCTGCTAAACCAACGTCGTCGACAGACACGGAAATCTTACGGAGAAAGCATGATTGAGCGTAACCTAAATCCCGAACGGCAAGGCCAATGTACGACGAAAGAAAAAACTACTAACCATACACAGACACATAAGAAATATAGTCCACAGGTGCCTTATGAACAGCGTAGCCCTTGTTGAAAGAAAATAAAGAGGTTTAAGGTTTCTCTTTCTCTTTCTAAGATATTTGACTCTAACAGATGGAAAAGAAAAGAGAGACCTCGTTATTTACCTCTATTTCTTTTCTAGCAAGGCTCATTTCCTTAAGACGGCATCCGAGGTCTATACTTCTAACGTCTATGCTATTAACGTACAACGTCACATAATGGAAACCGACTGGCAGCATTCTATAGTAAAATCATTTTCTTTATTTTATTCTCTTTCTACCGTTTTCCTATCGTTAGGATTTATCGTATCGCAAACGGACGATCACAAATTTTTATGGAACTTTTCTTTTTTATAGAACGAATGTTACATTGCGCCGCTACATGGTACGGCGTTGTTATAATGTTAGAGTAAAGCAGTTGAGCAGCACGTTTTTTACGTAACGCTACGCGTAACGCCAAGGCGTGACGTCAGCACACTCGGCGTCGCGCCAGCCAGCAACGACGCCGGGCGCGGAATTCTTGCGAAGAAAGCACTAACCGAGAGAAGCCGAGTATAACCGAACGAGACGACACGGCATAGTTGCACGAGGCGGCAACGCTGCGAGCGTCTGCTAGGTTCAAGGGTACGGAGTGGAGGTTGCTCCGCTCCGCTCGTCCCTAAGCCCGACACGACCGGGAGCTTGTCCCGAGAAACAGTTGGCCGCATGTCCGCTTTCATCCAACGGGAAACTTCTCGAAAGATGCGCGTAAAAAGCTTGTACGTTACTTATATACTTACTCGTGTATTCGGAGAAATTCCCTGTTCCACTGAAATGCGGACGAAGTTAAATGCTCCTAGCATTTGATGCATACGCTGCGTGACCGATTATTCATGGTGGAATTTAAAACTGACTCAATCGTTCAGAGTCATCGTCTCCACCATTTATTTCTGTCTCTTTTAAATTCCCGTTTTCTTAGTTTCGAGACACGTCTATGTAGTCTCGAAATAAATTACGCGTCTTTGAAGTTTCATTTCGGTAGCCTTTAAAATAAAAGGAGATAGAGCATTTTTAAAAAGCGCTACTTGGCCATGCTGTGATTGTCATTTACTTACTGTAATTACTACATTGAGTAGTACTTTGCAATTGTAAGTACACGACTGTTTGTATTTTGGGTTCGCAACCGTTTCTCGATTAAAAATTAAAAATTTGTATTTCTTGAGTCGTGTCAACCCATTAATTCGAGGAAGCGATATGTATGCACATGCTTGCAATACATTCATTATATAATTTTCGCACCACTTTTGAGAACATAAATGAACATACGAAACACAGTGTAATAATCGAGGTATTTAGCAGAGTCATTGAATAGCCACGCAAGAGGATCGCGGTTAGTAACGAGGCTATTTTGCCGCGATAGCTGTGATCTTCTTCGAGACATAGAATCCGCTGGCAAGGATCCCAGCGAGTGAATAAAAACAGAAAGGAGAGAGTCATCGAGTCGACTGTGTCCTGCTGCTGGTTGACCTCGGCCCTGGCGTCGAGATCGACGGGAAACGGATTTACAACTCTGACATTCGCACTCGCACCGCGCACCAGCCGTGTGCTGTCCTAGTGGGACTCACAGAAGCCGAGTCATTGTTATGTCTGTCGTGAAAATGAGAGCAAAAGATGAAAATGGAGTGGAATTCAGCTACGATTTCATTTGAAATATTATGTTTCTGGGCGAGTGTTACGATTAAAAGGAACGGATGTAGCTTTAATTATGTTCCTTAATACCATTACGCCACACCTGGTTATTGTACTATATAGTCACCAATGGTAGTGTCAAATTTTATCTCCATAATTCTTAATGAAATTTGATAATGTATTTCTGACAGGAAGTTACGATTAAAAGGAACAGATGTAACTTCAATCGCTGCTTTACTAGCATTACAACAGTTTGATTATTGTATTACATCGTCACTACGTCGCTATTGGTAATTGTAATTTTTTTAGTTGACAATAGAATTCATATGTGTACTTTGTAATTGAATGTAAAAGGTAAACGTACTTGTCATAGATTCCATCTTTCGCTCAAGGTGCCTAATAAGTGCCCCACGTAGCACAAAATTTCACTCTTCGTACATTATTTCAAACTATCTTCTCACAGACATTAAAAGAGTTTCACCTACCATTCTGCTTACAAAGAACTCCGCAAGGGCAACAAACGGTTTGACCAAAAAAACCCACAATAGACATTTAACTTCTTAAAACCATGCAAAAAACATTTGTCTACGATCTTTCTCCATCCTCTGTCCTCTGGGTATATCTGAACAAAACCGTCTAAAGCCATCCTTCCTTTAATGCATACATCAATCTCTACACAGCAGCGAATTTTTACCGTGAGGCAACGGTATCATTTTTCTCAATTATATAGAGAACTGGGAAAACGCAAAAATTTCCAGGCCAGGCTAGAAAAATCGCGTCCTTTGTCCGCGATTCATATTATACATTGCGCATTCACTGGATAACATCTGCTTAATCGCACAATGGACCCACGGGTACGTTCCGTTGGGTCCTTTATTATAGCGTCTCAAAGAGTAGGACGAAAAGGGCCTGAAAAGGGTCTCTCCCTCCCGAAATCTTTAAGACGGTTTCAACATCTGCTCTGGCAGCTTCTACGTGTATATATACGTATAGAGAGAAAAAGGAGTTTGCACGTGTCCTTTGAGGAAGGGATCTCGGTGGCGTTCATTGTGATCGACGCGCAAAACGGGAAGCGACAATTGACATCTGTCTTGCGTTATGCAGGATTTCTGGGTCGAACTATTTTTGAAACGACGTATGACAGGGTTGCCTTGCGTGCATGCTCGCCCTGGCATAAACATGTTTCCTGCCGATGCAGGCTACGCTAAATAGAAATAGATAATGTATTCGGTCCGTTCTCCACGAGACGCGTATTATTGGATCGTGCGTGAGTCTCGAAATAACGCTTTTTTTCTATTTCGAAAAACTTTCCGACGCCGGAAATATCGGGAACGCGAAGCGTATGGAGTTGCATCCATTGTTTCTAATTTTAAGCTTGTTTTTCGTGAATGAAACGAAGGGAAAACCGAGAGAAGCGAATGAACATTAGGTTGCAACGTACGTAGGTAATCTCGCTCAGAAGTTCGAAGCATGTTAGGATTTCAATTGCGCTACGAAAAATATCCTAAATACGCAGTATATTAAAAACAACGAAATAAAAATTGTACAGTAACGAGACACGAAACAGTTATCAGTCGGTGAACGGTCGGGTGTTAACGAATAGAAACTCGAGCAGCTCGGGCGTAATCAAAACGAACGTAACTTCACTGATTCCATTATCACGAAGCGCAATATGCAGGTTATTTTTGTTCAGGAGCCACGTTAATCTCGCAGAAGCGGTGCCGATGACTTTTAATCGCGTGCTTCATAGCCGCCAAACTGCGTCTGTTATTTCTGAAGCGTGCACTCGCGCGATTTCGGTAATTAATGTGTACTTAGGTTGATATTGCTATGATGTGCAATTACTCGTTACGTAAATTGTTATATCATTCTAGCGATATTTAAATTCTTGTGTAACATGCTCATAACACACATTCGAACACCATTGTACTTATTACGGCATCTACGAACTAATTAATTAATTTCAAGTACATTAATTTTTATATAATTTAGTAATACTTTCACGTGAGATTACCTTCTCTTTTTGTTACATACATATATCATAATGCTTAATATACGATATAAATGATAGAGATCAGTCTCTTGAGCTGAGATAAGTAGTTACAAATAATATAAATTTGATAGTTTATAATGTAAAAATGTTTTTATTTCCTTTTTCTTTTGTATTTATAGCTTTATCATTGTAATATAAATTGTAATGTTATCATAGAGAAAATCAAATCCTGATAAATTTCATGGGAAGAGTGAAAAAGAGCGAGCCTCTTTAGCTCAGTGGCAGAGCACTGGTCTCGTAAACCAGGGGTCGTGAGTTCAAACCTCACAGGAGGCAAATTTTTTTTGCATTTATTACATTTGATTCCTATTTTAATTGTAAATTATTAAACGTTGTCAAGATCTTATAGCTTTAATAAAAATTAGCTGGAATTCGTTTATAGGAACAAATTTATATCGAGCTTTTATAGTACAAACTATGAATCAAATGTAATTTCAAACGCGTATTCTTATAATGAGTATATATGCAATCACTTGTTTTTATTCAAAGTAAATTCTGTGTCAAAGAAGAAATAATTAAAAATTGTAGCAGTTAAATCCTAATATTTGAACTAATAAGAGGAACTGGACAGGATAACAATTTAGTGAACCTCTTTTATCGAAACTACTCGATTATACGAACTGCCTTGTTCACCGACCTGTCCAGATGAACTAGACTCTCTTGTATAAAATAATTAACACGTAAAAACGAGAATTAAGCGAACTATCCTAATACATTTTATTCTTAACTGAAAGTGGTGCTTAACTGAGGCTCGTGCCAAACACCACCTATCGAATCGAAAGGCAAATTAATGTAAATGTAAGGAGAGATTCGTTGGATCATCGTCAATTATTATAGGAAATCGGCCTGGAAACGGCGATTCAAAATTCAGCTTGCGTGTTGGAGGCTGCGAATGCGTCCCACGTAGAAGCTGCGCATTCTCGATATTCAAGAGTCACACCGACCAGAAGAGACGGTACTGTTTCCGTAAAATGTCTGTAAAGCGGAGAACCAGAGGTCGCTCGCGTATAATACCGAGCGAGATACTCCTGGACTTCTGGCTGTTTCAGAGGGGGGGTTAGGGATCGTGACGTGCCATGGATGGGAGACGTTTTTCCCCTCGTTTTCACGAGGAATACCGCCGAGCCGCGAGGCGAACGAACGGAATCTTAATTCTCGGCGTTAGACGCTCGATCGGCAAGGATCTGGTTCCTTAATGAAATCCCGGTCGGGCTCGAAAAAGCGTAAAAAACTGTGATATTACGTCGAGCAGACTTTCAACCACGGCCACGATCCTCGTCTTCTTACATCATCGCTTTCGTTTTCTACTCGCATTGGGTAGAATCGTAAAGTGATTTAAATGATGTTCTCTCAAGAACTCGACGCTCCAAGGAGTTTACGTCTAGTCAGATTAGGTATATATTATAATTTTCAATATTCAATATAAATAATACGAAGGCCAATAGTTATAAATGATATTATCAGTTTGGTAATTTATGATACAAAAATGTTCATTTATTAGTATTTCTTTTTATTAATCTCTATTTTATTTCATGTATTTAATCATCTATAACAAATATATTATTTGTTAGTTTATATGAACGAAAGAGACAACGAATATGTTACAAATTCAGGAATATTCTCTAATCCCAGTATCGGCTGATAAGTTGTTACGGCACTGGCGCATTCAAACCGGTTTTACTCGATCACGAGACTTGAGGCGATCGTTTGCGACGTGGGCGAGGTAATGGTCCGTTCAGTTGAAAATCGAAATCCCTCTGCGATAGATTCGCGTACCTATAAAATGAAAAATGAAATCTTCCAACTAATGTTACTGACGTTTCGTGATTTTTCTAATTGTACATACTTTTCAAAATCAGACAAAAGTTACAGACAAAAAGAGACAGAGATAGACAGAGAGGGGG